CGAGAGGCTTATGGCTTCATCATCCTCTTCAGGTCTGTCCTGCACCACCCAGCTCCCTGGCATGGCATGGGTGCCCCAGCTGGAGAGTGTGAGCTGGGAGATCCTCATGCTCTGCAGCCCCAGGCAGAGCCCCCACCTCTCCCCTCCCAGCAAACCCCTGGCACGGAGCTTAACGGAGACTTTTGTTTCAATGCAGTGGGTTTTTCCCAGTGGCTTTTGGGTTTTTGGGCGCCCTGACAAACATCCCCATCCTGAGCAAGGTGAGCAGGACACGGGGCACAGTTCTCCTGGGTGGATGTGAGCCTTGGGGTTTGCAGTCCCTGGGTGACATCAATCCCAGCGGCCGTGAAGGGAAGGGAAGGTCACCAGGGTCCCTCTACAGCCCCCTAAGAATCCACTGGAAGATTTTCCTGCTAAACAGGATCTGTCCCTGTTGCAGCTCTTGCAGAAGGTGGGAGACAGCAGCTCCATGGTGTGACCTGCGAGATGGGCCACATTGCTGGAGATGGGATGGCACGAGTGAGCCCTGGGTCCTGCTGTCCTGCTGTGAGCTGCTGCCTCAGCCCCAGTGCCAGCCAGAGCCACCCCTGCCCTGGGGACAGTGCCTGGCAGGGCTCCTGTGAGCAGCTCCTGAGAGAGTCTCCAGGGCCCAGAGGCTGTTCCAGACAGGCTGCTGGAGGTACCAGCGTTAGTTTCTTCTTTTTTTTGTCTTCCCCTGTTCAAAGATTTGATTAAAAAATATGTCTGAGACCAAACTCAGACTGGGCTCCTTTCCTGTGGCTCAGGGCTTGCTCCAGCTCGGGCTTCTTTTAGTGTCACCAAGAGGTAACGTGGCCATGGCTGGAGATGGCAGGGGGACCTTCCCATGGCCACATCTGGAGATGGCACAGGGACCTTCCCATGGCCACATCTGGAGATGGCAGGGGGATCTTCCCATGGCCACATCTGGAGATGGCAGGGGGACCTTCCCATGGCCACACCTGGAGATGGCAGGGGGACCTTCCTGTGGCCATGGCTGGGGGGGGGCCAGGGGCCCTGTGGAGGTACCAGCGTTAGTTTCTTCTTTTTTTTGTCTTCCCCTGTTCAAAGATTTGATTAAAAAATATGTCTGAGACCAAACTCAGACTGGGCTCCTTTCCTGTGGCTCAGGGCTTGCTCCAGCTCGGGCTTCTTTTAGTGTCACCAAGAGGTAACGTGGCCATGGCTGGAGATGGCAGGGGGACCTTCCCATGGCCACATCTGGAGATGGCACAGGGACCTTCCCATGGCCACATCTGGAGATGGCACAGGGACCTTCCCATGGCTGTGCCCCTGGCTGCCCTGGCCACCAGCCACAGGCACCCTGGGCAGCCCTGGCTCACAGGCAGCAGCCGTGGTGCTGCCTTCCCACGCATCCCACAGGGATGTGGGCTGGGGAAGAGCAGAGCCTGGGGAGGGCAGGGCAGGGGAGGAAAACACCCATTAAACCACATCAACTTTTCATGACCCGATCGTA